TGTTCCCCTCCCTTTTCCCTGCACAGCCCACCCGGGCACCTGAAGGTATAGCCAGCCATGGTCCACAGGCAGGGAATGGCCTGAGTGAGGTGGAAGGACTGGGCTCCTCCATGTCCTGGGGAAGCTATTGGGGCCTGGACCTGAGTCCTAAATTGTTTGTTTAGTAAAGAAAATAACACCCAGGTTTACTAAACCTCTCTGGTTTTCTGTTAGTCGCAGTTTCAAATACATTCCTGCCTGTTAAAATCATTGATATGACAAAATTTTCTGTTTCAGTTTATCAATCATCAACTTTACCAAAACCACCAAGTCTTCAGAGATAAGATGTACAAAAAGCATGCCCAGGAGCATGGAGCTGTAACACTCACCTAGTTTCACCCTCTTGGGACTCTAGGAGAAGGGAGGTTAGAACCCAAGTCAGGTCAGCCTGACAGCAGCTCCTGCTTTTTATTACCAATCTATACATCCTCTGATGGATCTTTTCACTTAGTTTATAAAGCAATCTTAACCTTCAATTCTGTTCTACGATTCAAATGCAATTGTCCTAACAAACTTGCTGACGGGAGTAACTTTTACTAATAAAGAAATCACCCCCTCTCCTGAAAAAAAGGATTCATGTGGGGTTTTAAAAAAAAACCTGGCAAGTACTTGCTTTCTAGTGTTTTGAAATCTTTACCCATCACGTGGCTCAGTGTTGTTGCTGCTGCTGCACTCACGTTTACGAAAACATGTGCCTGGCACTGGGCTAAGCATTTCACAAGCACGGTTTTCTTTTGTTCACAGCATCCACAAGAGGTAGGACTATCCTCATCCCCATTTCACAGGTGAGCCAACAGAAAAGAGCCCAGGCAAAGCACTTTCTTTCGGGGGGTCTCCTTCTAGATACCAGTGACTGCTCAAGTTCAGAGCAATATAAAACAGCAAGTCTTAAGCAAAAACGCTTCGTTTGGGAGTTCCAAAGAATGAAAACTACTCAAGGCAAGAACAATTACAACTAAAGAGAGTAACAAGCCCTCCCATCCTGAACAAAATCTAAAATTTCTCCGTCATTTCTAATATAGTATGTACTCACCACCCTTACAAGGAAGTAATACCCTCGACACAGTGAACTATCAAGAAGGCCAACAATAATATTTAGATACCTGAGAATGTTCATTAATCATAAGACCACTTAATTCAATTTCCAATATAATTTTCATTTTCAATATAAGAATGTGAATTTTATAATGAATATTGCTTTATTAACTTATTCGGCACCTCTGTAGGCAGTACTGTGAAGTTTTACACACACTATTTTTATCTTAATTACAACAAGCACCTCAGGATTAAAGCAATATTATAAACATTCCCTTTTAGAAATGGGGTTGTTAGTGGCAGATTTTTCCCAAGCTCCTCTTAAGAGGTTAATACCAAGACCCAAAATCAGATCTGGCCCAGAGTCCAGATCTCTTAACTATTAAGCTTCATAGTTATTTGATTTGTCATTTTTGTTTATTAGCCTTAAATCAAGCATTAACTGGCAAAGAGTATTAAAGTTTCACTCTTATTGTCTCTACTATAAGAGACAATATTTTGTCTCTACTATTTTCTTAACAGTTTTGCTTCATAGTTCTCCCTGCTTCCACCAAAAAAAAACTAAAAAGTTATTATCTATTCACCAATTATAAGACAATCCTCACTGAAGTTTGTTGAAGTAAACATAATTGCTACAATTACTTTTTAATCAATCATGTGTGGTGCCTTTTCAAGTGGCTAGTTCTGCTACTCCCCAAACTGTGGCAGTAAATGTTTCCCCTTTCTGCCTGTCATTGTAAAAATGCAGCATAGTTTTTAAAGTCTTTGGCAGCAATATCTTAAAAGCCCACCAGATGTCAACCTCAGTTACTGAAAATAGGCCATTCACCCTGTGACATGTTCTACTTTCTATGATAAAATACAGTGATTTGAAACCTTGAAAATGTCTATGCTTCTAAATTTTATGTAGGAATTTTACAATTTGCAATGTAAAATGAAAATTCACCGGTCTATATGTATTTCTCATTCTTTGAACCCATTTATTTTCTGCTTTCTCCCAGACTTTCCTCTATACCTCTCCTCTTCCTCGTTACACACTAACTCACAGTTAACTGATGTAAGTCAATCAATACTATCATCTCACATGAAGCCTGAAATCTAAACTTTGAAGATTAGTATAAAATCAAGTGAAAGCAATGTTGTATTTATTACTAAACAATGCTGTCCCTTGCCTCAATTCCAAGGCAGACTATAGCTATAAAAATCCTAGCCTAAACCTTGTTGACTAATAAAATCAACCACCTTCCTTTAGAATCAAACAAAAAATGTTAGATACTGTTTTGGGGTTTTTTTTTGTTTTTGTTTTTTTTTTTTTTTTGGTGGGACCCTCACCAGCAACCGGGGAACCAGAAGCTGCAGGCAGCTTCGTAGCCCAGCACTCAACCACTGTGCCACCAGGGGAGGCCCAAAAATGTTAGATACTGTTTTGTATGGCTCTTCCAAAGCAGTTATTAGACTAAAAAATAGAAAATCTAGTGATTTTCCCCCTACATTTGCAATCTGGTAGCACTTATGTGTATCAATTTTTGGGTTATTCAATGATCATCCAAGAATGCTTTTCATTTTTTTGACCACTACCCTGCTGCCCATATTTAACCTTACTGAATTTTTGGTCCATTGCATAGAAGAATTTCTCTGCTAATAAAAATACAAGCCATTAAAGATTAACTTGCCCCCAGGACAGTCTCTCTGGAAACAAATTCCAAGCATTATAATCACCAATTTGTATTATGTAGCCTTAAAGTCAGATAATCTTATTTATCCTGAAGTAAACTGGAAAACTGTACATATTTTAAGACCAATGGTTAAAAAAAGGCAAATCAAAATTCACAATAATCAGAAACCCAAGTACACAAATACAGAATTTATGAAATTGATACTTTTCAAATGAGAAGTTACCACCCAAGAATCTCTAACAACATTAGAAAAGCCATTGACTTGCCAGACTTCCTACATTGGTCTTCATTTACTTGTGCAATTATGATATTGCAAAATTCATTTTTCATCCACATATGATGTATATGTTAGAAGCTGTGATACACACTAGAGATCTTTTTCATCCATGCTATAGTATTAACAGCAAAAACAAAAACTGATAGCTACTAAGTTCTTATTCACCAATGTATCAAGTTTTACAATAACTTAACAGACATTAACACTTAATTCTCACAAAACCTTCAGAGAAGGTATTAGTATCTGTCCAACTTACAGATGGCAAACAGAGGTAGAGACCAAGACTGTCTCAAGATCTCACAGGGATTTGAACCCAGATACAAGTGATTCCAACATCCACACCTGGTACAACCACCTGATCTATAGCAATCAGGTACATGATTACATTCAGTTTAGAATGCCAGTCTCATTTCTTCAAAAATAGTGATTCTACAGAATTTGACACTGGAAAGAATATATCACAAAATACACTGGGTTCTAGTGTCAAATATATTCAAGGTTTACTTTCTTTAGAAAGTGTTATTCACTGACTGGTGATTTAAGAAAGTTAATCAAAGGACTAGTTGCAATCATTAAAGAATTATTTTGGGCTGATAGGTAAATATTTCATTCCATATAGGTTTCTGGAGAAATGTTGTTCCATTCAGACTTTCTCTAAAGGAAACTTTACCACTGCAAAGCAATTCTAAACCATCTCACATCTGAATATTATAAAGGTGAGAGCCTTCAAATTAAAAAAAAAAAAGCCTCACCTGTTTTTCATTTTATTCAAATGAAGATGAATTCAGAAAGAATCCCACCTTTAAAACTCAGATTATGCACGAGGGTTTCCTAGAAACTGACATCACCATCATTACTTGTATGTCCACAAATAAAACAGTAAGGAAGACATAGAAGAAGATCCCTCTTTCACTTCACTCCAAACTTATGTAGAAGACAAACTGGAAGCTTCTTGAAAGAATGAGTATGTGCTCAATCAGGTCAACCTAAATAATCTGACAATATTTCTCTGAATAAACTTCATATCTTTTCATCAGAAACTAAGCAAAAAGAACCATGGGGGGGGGGAATGAAATAACTAAAATGGGTTACTGAAATGCAAATGGGGCTTTACTTTCCCAACACAGTTTACAATATTCTCATTTGAACAGTTTATCACAGAAGTAACTCTCCTTAAAACTTGCATAATTTAAGGGGGGGGTGTCAGAGATAGAAACAGAGATGACAAGAATCAGCGGTGTTTATCAATAAATAAGCAACTAGGAAGATAGGTTTGTATCTCAGCCAAAAAAAAAAAGCCCTCCTGCCAAAAACTCCTGTTATTTGTTTCCACCAAGTTATTGTTTTGGAAAGCATGTTGTTCTCTCTTAAAATAATCTGCTTAATTGTTCTAAAAAGCCATTGCATTTCCACAGACAGCTAAATCACTCCCATTCTGCCGTGCGTTGACTGCTAAGACATGTATAAAGTCACAATGTAAAGCTGGAAAACTGCGATCCTTCCTTGATATTAGGGCACTAGGTAATAAACGAATCTTCATCAAAACCGTAGTACAAGTAATTTTGGATCCTCCATAGTATTTTAAGAAGACAGTCATTCCAACTACCTTGGAATGAGTCGCCTTGGTGGCCACAGGTAGGCTACTAATTAACATGATTAAGGGAGGTCAAAATGACCTTGGACATTTTAGCATTCCCTCGCAGAATGCCAATGCCCTGTTAAAAATCATAATTTGTTTCCTTTCCAGTATGGTGAAAGCTCTCAAGTCTGGGAAAACCCCAGAGAAATTAGGGAGTTTAACAAAAAAACCCAAAATTGGGAAAGACCAAATAAGATACCCATAGTACAGGAACATGTTTACGAACTAAGTGTAACTCAAGAGGTGTTTTATAAGCCTGTCAGCAGATGAACATACAGTGTCCTCCAACCCAGCAGCACTGCCCTGACACAACCCCCAAGCTTAGGATCCTCACCCCCATCCTGGCCCCTCTTACTCCGGGTGGAGGGTGAGAGGCGGGCGGGAACTCCTGTCTTAAGTCTTGACATCTGCAGAGCATTTCCCAATAGCGAGACAAGGCCCCTCAGCTGGAGGAAGCGGATACTGACAAGGGGAGAGAGAAACAGACAGAAAGAGACGAGGCTAGAATTCCAGGCAGTCGGGGAGTGGGGAGAGAGTCACGCATACTCCGTGCGGTCCGAGTGGGTCCGCATGGCTAAGCCCAGGTGCGCGGGCTAAACTGGCCTCTCCAAAGTCCAGAGCGCAACTTGGGGGCAACGCACAAACTCGGCCCTGGGCTGTTCCAAGTTAGCACGGAGCTCCCGCTGCCGAAAGACTGCGAGGAGTGGAAACTTGGAGAGCCCCGCGAGGGCTCCGCTCGCTGGGTGTCCTCCGGCTCCCCGGGGAGGTGACCCGGGAGCCAAGTGGACTACAGGCCAGAGCGGTGGGCGCCGGAACGCCAGGCGGGGGTGTCCGGGGAGGAGTTGGGGGCGCACTTCGGGAGTCCGAGCACAGGGGGATGCCTACCTTGTAACATGGCCTCAAGTTTCTTCCTGTCCACGCGGAAGCGCTCCTCGCTCCACTCGGGGCTGTGCAGTGGCGCCCCGGCCACCAGGTCGTCCTCGGAGCCGGGCATGGGCGAGTCGGTGCTGCGCTCGCTGTTGGAGCCGGGGTCCGACTGCGCCGCCAGGTAGCCGGGCTCGCCCTGGGCGGCCATGGTGGGCGCGCAGCGGTTGGGCTCCGGCTGCGGCCGCCGCTCAGCTTGCGCCACCGCCTCGGCCCGCCCGGGATCGACTGGCTCCCCGCGCCGCGGCGCTAGCTCGTCCCCCCGCAGCCGCCGACGCCGCCGCCGACGCCGCCGCCACGGAGCCCCCGGTGCATCCCAGCCCCAGGCGCCGCCCACGCCGCTCGCTACCCCGGGTCCCGGCCCAGGTCCCCGGCCAGTGGCTGCGCCGCCCCCCGCCAGCAACGCCCGCGCGGAATGAGCGCGCCGCGCCGCCCGCGCCTCCATCCGCAGGGCCCCGGCGCCCCCTCCCCGCCCGCCGCCCCTGCAGCCGCGAGCTCATTGGCCCGCGCGGCCCACGGGGAGCCGCGGCGGGCGGGCGGGCAGTCGCGCGGGCGGCCCCTGGCGCTCGCACACACTCGCGCGCACACACACTCACCACGTACACACTACTTTTCTGCACTTACATGTCCCACAAACAAACTTGCACAGCTCTCCAAACTCAGATACTCGCCAGCTCCCAGCGCAGCACCGGCCTGGACACACACAGACCCTCATCCAAGCGCACACAGCACGCGCACACGACCACTTTTCTGCACACGCACGTACAAATCCCATGCCCCCACATACTCATAGTTCTCCAGACACAAACACATGCCAAGTTCAAGCACGGCATGCTCCTGCTAAACGCACACGAGCTACACACCCAATTCCCTGCTAGCTGCATACACACATTACACCCTGAAACTCACAGCCCTCGTTGGTCCCACACAAGTTTGAAATGAGAAAGCCAAGGCTTGGGGTGGGGGAGGGGGCACATCCCATCTTTCACAGACCTCACTATGGGTTTTGCTTGCGTGCAGTTCACACCTCCACTGAGGACTGAAGCCCAGAATCCTGCTCTCATTTCAGCAAAGTGGCCAGATGCACGGGAAGTGGACAAGAGATTTACTCTTCATTGTGAGGGAAGGGTTTTGTCTTTTTTTTTTTCCCTTGACTGTAGTGAAGAAGTCAGTTTCTGTGTGATTCTCGTGGAACAGATTCAGCTGATTTTAAAAACAATCCAGAGGAAAGCAATGAGATTTCAATTCTGGTTAGTTGGGTTCAGCTGGCATCAGGACTGGGCTGTCTCGTCAGGGACCGAGGGCTCTTCTCTCTTGCAAGGTCAGTCTCTCCCAGAGGATGACCAGCAAATGAACTCTGATCCTACCTGCCCTGGCCAGCCCACCCACTGCTTCTCTCAAACTTGGACTTGAAGTACCAGAGAAGAAAAAACTCCCTTGTATCAGGCATGCCACTGGAACTCTGTTTTCCCAGTTCACACTCATATGCTCTTGTGCTTTATCACCAAAAGCGCGATTTTCTTTTTTACTTAGGGAGAGGAGGGTGATGATGATGGAATAGCAGCTGATCACTGTGCTACAAAAAGCAGCTTACTGGCTTACACGTGGGACAAGCCAAATCATTGCCATGGACCTGTAGATAATCATGTAAGATGCTCAAAGTTACTCAAAATCCTTAGAAGTTCAGCTGTCTAGTTAAGAACTGACTGTGCTGCTTGGGGTATAATTTACAAATGAGGAAAATGGGACTACAGGAACTCAAATTATTGGACAGATGATGGAGCAAGGTAATGGAACCAAGACTCCAACCCAAACCTGTGCATCTGACACATAATCTTCGCAAAGCCCCACCTTGTTGAGCAGAGAATCACCCCCACACACACACTCAGAATCACCTCCTAGAAAACAGGAGCAAATGTGCAGCTTCACTGGTTGATTCACCACCATGTGTTCCTTCTCTGAAATTATTATTGTCCAAAGCACTAGTTTAATCACCAAAAGTGGTTATCAATGAATCTTCCATCAGGAATGTTTACCATCTTTCTTTGTCAACAAATATTTTTGGGAAACTAGTGGGTGCAGGGACATTGTGTTAGACCCAAAGAATAGTGACCAAAAACAGACACCATCCCTGGTCTCCTGGAGCTGAGCAAGACAGACTATTCACCAAAAATAAACAACTCAGAAAAAAATACCAAATTGCACCTATGCATGAAATTGCATTAGAAATGCATCAAGGTATGAGAATACCAGTAATGGAGTAATTCAATGCAGTCGGAGAGGTCAGTAGAGGCTTCTCAAGAGACAGTGACTTGAACAAAGAAAAATCTGAGACACAATTAACTGGAGAATAAAGGGAAAGGAAGAGCCATCCCTTAAAATCACTTGATCATAGTAACAACCCTAAGGATAGTGAAGGGCAGGACTGGACCAGTGCAGGTTTTCTGATCCCATGCAGACTGGGTAAAGGAGGAGTCAGAGTCCTCAGTAGTTTTGCAGGTTTTTTATTGGGGTTCACCAGGCATATGGCAGGCAGGGGTCCTGGCTGGGGGGCTGGGAGGCTGGCAGGCAAGTCTTCACTCTATCTGAGCTCTCTAGGGTTCATTCTGCTGCTTCTCGGCTTCTCTTTCGGCTTCTGCTTCAGCTTCTAGTGCTGCTGCTGCTGCTGCTGGCGTCCCCGTGACACCGCCCTTAAAAGTACAGTCTTAGCTCAGCTGAATCTCATCTACCTATGCCCACACCCTATTCCAGGTGCCCGCCATCAGGCATGCATTCAGGACAAGGATCCATCATCTATCCTGATGGCGGAAAGGCAGAAAAGCCTGATATTTTCTTTACCCTACAGATAGATATTACAATTATCCTCATTTTCCAGAAAAGGAAACTGAGGCATAGGAAGTAAAATGACTTACACAAGCTTGCACAACTAAATAAGTGGTAAAATCACAATTTGAACAGTTTTCCCTTGAAAGTTAGACTTTATGTGTGCTCTATGTTAAGAAATTAAGTTCTAGGGGTTCTCAATAGGACCAGCATACACAAAGAATCTGTGCGTGCTAAAAGAAGACCAGCAGAGATGGTACAAGGAAAAAAAAAAAAGGACTTAGGTTATGCTAGTTGAGAGAGTAAGGAGTAGAATATGTAAACCCAATAGATCAAGGTAAGAGGTTTTTGTCTATATCCTCGGAATAGAAAGAAGGTGTATAGAGATTTTAAGTAAAGGATGATTGTAGGGTAAATGTAGCTGATCAGGTTTTTTACACCATTGGCCTCTGTGGCTATCACCTGTAGCCTTGATCTTGTTAATTTAGAAGGTGTGTGGGTGTGGAGCACACAGGCCTGATTATGGACACCTGAGCATGGGTGCGTGGGCTTGAGCAAGTGTGTACACCTGTGCCTAGGAGGGAGGGGGATAAAGGGCAGCATCACCTTGAGGAATGGAACTCTCAAGTTGCTGTCTTCCTGCTGGCATGTTTCCCCTGCTTACCATTAAAACCTGTGAAAATGATGCCAAGGGTTCCAAAATTCTTCAAATTGCTAGAGCTGACAGTGAACATATCTGGCCTGAGATGGTTGCAAAACAATGATCTACTTAGACTTGCATTTTTTTTTTAAATGACTGTGGCTATGGTATAGAGAATGTCTGAGGTACAAGGATAGAAGTAGTTAGACCAAGTAAAAGACTAAGAAGGAAGCTTAGACAATAGGTGCTGGTAGCTTATCGGCAACGGTAAAGATTGAAGGATGGGAGAGTATTTGGGAAATATTTTGATGGCAAAATCACCAACTGAATTGGTCATGGGATTATATACGAGGTGATAAAAGGACTCTAAGGTTCTGGTTAACATAATTGGGGAAAGATGAGTATTATAAACTGAAATATGACCATTGGGAAAAGACTGCTTATGCTGGAGGAAAGATGGACTTGAAATTGGTGTATTGAGTTTAAGATGTCATTAAGAACAAGAAGTGATGTCAAATAAGCAATCAGATATGTAATTCTAGAATATAGAAAAGAGATTTTGGCTGGAGATAAAAACTTATTTATTTCTGTATACACAGTAATTTTAATCATATGCATGGGTAGGAATGTCTAGGGGAAGAGAATCAAGGAAAGAGTCTTTCACAAACTCTACCATTTAGTGATCAAGTAGATGATAATATAATAGGAAAGGTAACTGAAGAAGTAATGAGAAGGAAAATACAAAGCAATTTTTTTCATGTAAGCCAGGTGGGGCGGGGGACTATTTCAAAAGGCCAAACAGGTGCCGATCAAGTGGGTTCTTGTTTCAGAGCGATTGAGGAATAATCACCGGCACATCCAACTGAAGGATAGCAAGCTCAGGTTTATTGCAAAACAGACTCCTGACAGCAGGAAGGGGCCCAAGGGAAGAGCCCATTACTGTTAGGGGTACCTTTACTTTCATAATCTCTCATGGGGTGCTTTTCCACTACCCCCCTTTGCCTCATTGCCCCACTTTGCCTCCTAGAGATGTGAAGTCACCACAAGCTACTATGTGCCTCTACATGCCTCTCTTGGTCACCAGCCCCTGCCTGCTAGCTCAGTGGCCAGCAGCCTTTGCCTGTCAGCTTTCTGCTCCCTCAAGCACCCAGCCTCAGTCTGCTATGTTACAACAAGCCCTTGCCAGCCAGCTCCCTAGCCAGCTAGCTCTCTGCTCCCTCAGTAGGTCAACATTTTTTGATGAAGGTCACTAGGTCACCAGAATGAGTATAAAGGATGGAGTGAGCAATAAAGGTAATACTTGGGAAAGATATGACTGAGAGGGGAAGTAGAGAGACTGATCGATAATATGGTTATAGGATGGGCTGTTTGTTG